CTCGTCGGCGCGGTGTTCTGCCAGCTCTACATGCGCTTTGCCTACATGGCCGAAGCGATAAACAACAACTGGCGGCCCGTCCCTTCCGTCCAAGAGTCCGACGCCATGGTCTCGGGCATCAGAAAGGTGGCCATCGGGCAGGTCGTGTACATCTTTGGGATATACTTCGTCAAAGCTAATTTCTTGATGTTTTTCTACCGGCTGGGCGATAAAGTCAAGCGGTACCGAGTAATGTGGTGGGTGGTGGCCGTCTTCACGCTCGCGACGGGGGTGGTCTGGGTCGGGACGGTGCCGTACAGGTGCGTGTTCGGGAGCAAGGAGTACATGGCCACGGGCAAGTGCGCGCTGAACGACGGGGTGCAGATGCGGAGGGTGCCGATACTCGTGGCCGCCCTGCTGGACGCGCTGTCCGACACGGCGATAATGGTACTGCCGATCGTCATCGTGTGGAACGTGCGGCTGAGCCGGAGGCAGAAGCTGGCGCTGACGGCGCTTTTCGCAATGTCGCTCTTCACGATTGCCGTCATCATCGTGAGGGCTTCGGTTTTTTTCAAGGATAAGCCGGCGACTCGGAAGAGGCCGACGCCGATTAATCTCAGTTGGACTTGGTTTTGGACCGTCATGGAATTTTATGTTTGTAAGTGTTTCTCTTGACTGCAATTCGAGGTGATGGAAAGGCTGACGAAGAACGATAGCATTCATGATTGCCTGTTTGATGTCGTTTAGGAATTTGTTTGTGTACAGGGGGAATACCATGACTGCAAGCGCGATGATGGGCTGGCATGGGAGGAACTCGACGCCGAGGCGGGGAGATACTGACATTTCTACGCCTCAGAAGAAGAGGCTTGAGTCTGAAGAGGATGGCCTGAGGCTTGTCCCGAAGCCTGGTTCGAATGGGAGTAATGATTCTGTCGATCGGGACCTGTCAAGCCGGATCGTTCAGGTTGAGCTACAGCCCCTTGACCTGACATACCAACGGCAGCATTAAATAGTAATGAGATATAGAAATTAATATGATGAACATGATAAGCTAGGACAGAACTTGCATGTATTTATGGTTTGTATATCTATGTGGAAAGGGCTCGGGGGCTACTAACAGACAAAAGAAAGTAAAGAAACCTTGGTATTTCTCCCCATGATACCTTCTAATCCAATGTGTCAAGCACTCTTGGCCTTCACATAGTCCCTAATATTCTCTTTCAGATCTCCGGACTTCAACCCCAAAATACCATTAGCCAAATCCTCCTCCTTGAAGGCCTTATCAGCCCCATCAGCAAAGCAATAAACCACCAAGCTCTCAAAGAAGGCACTCCGGTCCTGTTTACTCAGCTTCTCCTCCACAATCTTGTCCAGCTCCTCCTTGGTAATCCTCTTGACAGCAAACTTCTCCCCCGTAACATCCTCAAAGATCTTTAGCACCTGATTTCGCGTGATCGTGTGCTCAGCAACCTCCAAGTACTTGTTCTTTGTCTCCTCCTCGTGCTTCAAAACAGCAGCGACCGCATCGCCCACAAAGCCGAGGTTGGAAACAGACACCTTCTCGTCGCCCGAGTCGATGAGCGTCGTTTCCCTCTTTGAAAAGTTGACGCCAAAGGCAGTCTTGTCGAGACCCCAGTCGAAGAACAAACCAGTCGCGATGCCCGTCCAGCTGAACTCGGGATGCTTGGCGGCCTCTTGGATGAGGTAATCGACCGCCTTTGTCTTCTCGGCCATCAACTGGGCACCGAAGACGCCCGTGGTGCCCTTGCCGGGACGGGTGTTGGTCCCGAATTCAGCGGGGATGAAGCGCTTGACTCCGGCAGCGATGGCCGCGTCCGCAAATGTGTTTTGGTTGCCGGTGCCTGCGTAAGCCACTGTGCTAACGACTGCGTCCTGACCTTTGAAGGCTTCAGTAAGGGAGTCAAGCGAGTTGAGGTCGGCTTTTTGGACCTTGACTGCTGAGGGGAACGTCGAGGAAGAGTTGGCGCGGGTAACTGCTGTTACGGCAAACCCGGCGGCGAGAAGGGATTGAACTACTGGTGTGCCGACGCTGCCTGAGGCCTGGGAAGGTGTTAGTGGGACGAGAGAAAAAGGAATTAGAGTAGAAGAGAGAGCCATACTCCGATGACGGCTACGGTCTTGATTGCCATTTTGAGTTGTGATTGGTTTTCGCTGGGAGGTGGTGGAAAAGTTGACTGAGTCGAATGTGCTGTAATAAGAGAAGAGAGTAGCTGAAGCTGTTGATGTAGATGATGGGGAATATTGACTGCTGAAGAGCGTGGGCAATGTCAGGACTTTATACTTGAAAAAAGCCCTCAGGTCAGGTTTTCAGATATATCTGTCGCCTATCTCGCGAATGCGTGGGTGCAAAATCAGTCGCGAATCTGAAAATTCCATGATAAACTTCCATCCTGTGACATACCTAATCCCAGTATACAGGTGGCATGAACCGGGGTCTGCGAAAAATAACCATGCATTGCAGCAAAACAAAGCGCCGGCCCTTAAATCCGGCATGCCAAATCCGTTAACACGCTGCCTAATCCGGTAGGAATATTACCAATGCGCACTCACCAATCTATCCGCACTCACCGATTAGTAACTGCATTAGGAATACAATCGATCCCTCCTGACTGTTGGACTAGAATACTCCATAGAGGCAGATGCAAACTGATGCCTCGAAAAGGCAATCATTCATGTCTCAGTTTGGGAATTTTTAGACCGCATACACCCTTGCGTCTGAGTTATTATTGTTCGCTGCGAGCTCGAACATTGGGTGAGTGGAAACATAGACCCACCATCCGCCTGCCCCCCTTCTGGCTCTGACTGTAACAACAGCGAGAGTATAGTAGTTGACCTTTTGTCCCACAGCTGATATTACCTCATTACTCTCGATGGCCGTTGTGCTTTGGTTTTCTTTCACGAGTCGCAGAAGATGGTCAGGAACTTCCCGGCCCCAAGATGCATGAACGTTGGGCTGAATTCCGACACAGATCCTCGTACGAGAAACCTTCACAATTATAACAAATGACTGTTCGTGTGCACTTGTGTATAGAAATGCAGCATGAGAGGTGCCAAGGATGTGAGCCTCGTCTCCCATGTGTAGCCATTGATCGACCGTTGAGGCGTCGGCGTAATTCGGGTCGAACGATGTGACAACATGATTCAGCTGAAAGCCAGTAGATGTCTTCCAGTCTGGCCCTTTCACCACGATCTTGTCTGGGAACCTTGCCCGATATCCGCTGTCAACAGTCCAAGCTTCTCTCGTGCTAAATGACCGAACCATCGATGAAGGGTGGGAGCAAAAACCCAGGAGCTGCGGCTCCACGAACTCGCGGGCTTGGTAGCGGAGCTTCCATTTTGTTGTTTTAAGCCAGCGTGGGTCCCACTGGATCTCAATACCTCGCATCTTGACAGCTTCGCGTTTTAAGATGACTTTTGTCGGAACGGCAGCTTCCATCACGGCCACCGAGGCTTCTCGTCTAGTCCCGGTAAACTTGCTAAAATGATCTATCGAAAATATGCCAGGTCCATGTTGAGTTACCTCAAGAACAATGTTGGCGGACGGGGTTCGTGGTCTTAGAGCAATTTAACAATATTTCTGTGTTGTTAACCATCATGAATGTCATCTCAATTGTCATCTTGTTGATTACGTGTCCTCGTTGCAACAGCAAAGATGGCACTCGTCTGTACGCCTGTGTGTCTTGTTTCATGATGTTCCCGCAAGCTTCAAAGACTGCTGGAGACTCGGCAAAAAGCGGTCGTTCCTCCCCGGACGTCAGGTCTGCGCGACAGAGAAGGGAATCATCTTCGGACTGTCGTAGAATCTCCTCTTGAAGCCTTATGAAAGCATTACTCCCTTCCCCGTAGAGCAGCGGCATATTAATGCTAAACAAGCCAAGGAGACAATAAGCTGTATCTTCAACACGAGTCGTGTCTCGGTTCGCCGCCCACGACATCTTTTGTGCTGCGCTGAATTGGGAGAGATCCATGGTTTCAAAGTAAACGGCGCTGATACCAGTTATTTTGACAACTATTTCCTGCAACTGTGACTTTGAGCCAATCCTGGCCCAGTCCGAGTCGTAAAAGATGACGATCGGTGGAGCAATGAGCTCTTGGAGGGTCCAGCCGCGTGTGAACCAGCGTGACTTGGAGAAGCTGCTGTCTTGCATATATGGGTCCTCGCTGCCGTCCACGTCGCTTAAGAGTGCGTAACAGACATCAGCATCGCTGTACCACTGATACATGGAATTGATGGCTTCGGATAGCTCGGCGGAGGAGGTCTTGTCGATGCAACAAGTGTCGATCCAAATATACTCAAAACCATCTTCTCTCGCCTGTGCACAAGCTCCAAGAACCTTTCGGATGCCCCTACGTGACGTCGCGGTGCCCTTCTGGATGTCTTGGAACAACACCTCTCCCTCGTCCCATGTGTGCGACAATATCGCAAAGGGCGGGGTGTCTTGGCCTGGGAAGTTGACCAACTCGAGTTTGTCGCTTCGGAGGAGGCGCATCTTTACGTTATTTTCAGGCTGAACTCTGATGTTTTGGTGGGATTTATTCGCGGTGGCCGGTCGCCTGATGTTGTGGTAGATGGCTGCCAGGATGAGCGGAAGAGCGCATGGTGTACTGAGAGTCGTCAGTGCGACGTGTCGAGATATGTTTGATGGTTGGTTGGAGAGAGCCGTGCCTTGGCAGCTGAATTGCCCCCACAGTCTCAGGACACCTTCCCGGTCAGAAATAGCGCAAGGGGCTGCTGAAGCGACAGCAGAAACCTTGATTGGAATCCACAGGTTGCTCCTGTCTTCTTGAATGATATCTATAGTACCTGAGCGCAATTTAAAGCTCCCTTTCTTGTCGAACGACACTTACACAACTGCACACTCATTTCTTCAGACTTGTGCTCCGAACACCCCGACTTTGACATCTCCACACCGGCATCATGGCGGAGAGTCAATGGAACGAACTTGGGTTTCACCGGATCCCTCGATGAACGCCGATTTTTGTACGTCATTCATCGAAAAGGGCAATTGGCCTAGGGGTATGATTTTCGCTTCGCAGGTTCTATCCAGCTATGTGAAGGTCACCGGTTCGAATCCGGTATTGTCCAATTCGGTTTAACCTTTTTTGTTCTAAATAGTGAACCACTGACTCCACTTTGCACTGCACATCCTACTATGTACAAATTACACTTCGACCACATGAGCCTCGAGGTAGTGAATGCTGGGATGTCTTTTACATTGAGAATATGGCAAGAGAAAATGTGGTTAGCTTGATGTTTTTGTGTTTGTGGGAAAAGTCTTCTCAGAGAGATATTTCAACATGAATAAATCCCATCAGACATCGTTAAAGACTGTACCCATCCAGAGCCATTGGCAAAGTAGATGGGAGGTGACCTTTTTTATCCCATCGGCCACTAAACTTCTCGCAAATTATCGGTATTTTATTGAAAGTTTGCAAAACGATAAGCGGGTACAGTACCTACCAGAATTGTTAAATTGGCCTTCTGGCCGGACCAGGTACGCTCCTTCCCGGCGATTGCAAGTTTTCTTTTCATCGGGATACTTCAAGCCACTGCAGAAAAATTACAGAAACCACAGGTTCTCTCTTGACAGGCCTGAATTTTCTGTTTACAACCCTCAACCACTTCCTCTGACCGTGATAACTCTTTTGGTATGTCTCAATACTTGTTCAACACACCCACCTTCTTCCTCGAAACGCTCACAATTTCTTCTTTCACACTACCCACCAAAACATCATGGACTTCAAGATGTATGACTCTGAAGGCGTTCATGAGGAGCTCGATTGGGAGTGCCCAGTCTTTTACTGCGACTGCGCCTTTGCGACCCAAGAAGAGTGCGAGGAGCACGGCATCAAGAAGAGCACCTCTACTGCCTGTTGTGCGATCGCTTCTTTGCCCGTTACTCGGGCATCCAGAGTGTGAGTTTTTTGTGATTATTCATGGTCTTCAGGATCTAACATCTTGTTTCAGCATCTCCGGCATTCCAGTGCGCATCGCGATGATCAGCTCTCATTCGACGCAGGACAAACGGATCTCGCTGCAGGCCAAGCCGAGCTGGGGCCGACTGCAAGCCCCAAATTTCATCCGGTCAACTGTCCCCTCTGTGACCAAAAGTTCCCAATGTGCTCGACTATGGTGATGCACATCGAGACCAACAATTGCCCAGAGGCTGCAAGTATGGAGGACATTGGTCATCTCACCACCGAGAATATTTGCCCAAACGACTTTTGCGACCGCGTGTTTCCCACTCTTGGCTCTCTGATTGCCCACCTGGAGACTGAGGAATGTGGCGCTATGGAGTTTGAGGAGGTGCAAAGTCGTGTCCTGGATGTTTATGGAGGATAATGAGTCAGGATTGAGTTGAGAGGGGTGATTTTGGGCTTATGGGATGATGGGGAAAGGATCGCGGAATGAAGCTTGGTGGAATAAGCGAGTATCAGGGTGAAGGTTAAAGATTAATGGAAGGGGACACTCTCAAGTTCAAGCCACAACTTTATTTCATCGTAACTAAATCTTGAACAAACGCCACCCGTTTTTCACTTGTAGCTGCCTTGTCTTCTTCCGTCTTCATACGACAACTTGGGTGTCATTTGTACGTATATTATCTGGACAGGCTATATAATCCTGGGGCTTGTGCCTTTATTTCTCCAAGTCTTTTATTTCCATCTTGTGTCTTAACCATAATGTCCTCAGAGAAAGCCACGAGACCAAACCCATACCCTATGGTACCAAATCATGGTATTCTGAGGTACGTTAATTTGCATCCAAGCATGACGGCTCTATGATCAAATGTGAAATTTACGATTATTAAGTTGTCCTGTTGGGGGTAAATCTCTTTCGTCCTGATTGTGAGCACCTGTGTATATCCACTTGACACAACTCAAAGAGAAAGTTTTCGACTCAGGCTCGCCACCAAACCCTAATTACGCTTTTCTGACGGCTGACATCCTTTTGCGGAGCACACAAACTTGCCTGTCACGCTGCTTCTTTTTTTATACCTTCTCTCTATTTTTCTTGTCACTCAAACATCGTTGCAACAATTAACTTTATTACCAACATCTTATAGCCATGCATGCCATGCCAAAACTGCATGGGTGCTCACCCCCGCCAATCGCAAAGGTATTTCCGAGTGCCTGCTGGAATTTTCCGACGCGATCGGCACGACACCTGACCACTTTATGGTACTCTACCTTTCGCTGTATTCTGCAAGCTCCGCTGCCGCCATGAATTTTATAAACGCAAGGGGATCTTTCTCAACAAAACTTCAACTCGGGCTCCTGTTGTTTCCATCAGCTCTTGCGGTATCCTTGTCCAAATCCCGACGGCCAAACCGCCCTCCCCTTACCGGCGTCCCGCTACACAACCTTGCCTTCCCCACGACTGCTGGCTTCGTTGCCTGCACTCCTCTTCACGACCTGATCTCGGTGGACCTCTCACGGTCTCAACTCGATATCTCACCCCGCGGCGATGCGATGCTAGCGGAAGAATTATTGGTTACGGTTGCTTGCGCTGGCCGGATGCTCGGATCTTGATACCAGATACCGTTCAAAGCTTTTCACAACAGTCATGGGAGAACATAGGCATATCTTCGCTATTAGTAAAGATCTTTTCTTATCTCATCGAGAGAGGGGTCGTGGCCAAGGACAACCAACGTCTTGGCATCTGGGCAGGATGCAACAATTCGGCCGGGAATCCGGGATGGCGAGCTTGGCATGCCAACTGTATCAAGGCTTGCTGAACTGAGTGGCCAGGAATATTGATTGGTAATTCTTCTCCAAGGCAGAAGCCGTGGACACCTTATCAATCTCTTCCCCAGGATGGTGGGCCAAGGTCGTGCGCGGGATGGATTCAAGATCCCATAAGAGCTTGCATTTTCGGGACCGGTGGTGGATATTTCAACACCAGGTGCCGCATTTGAGCTTGACGGGACCACCGAAAAATGATATCTCCAAGATATCATATCTCCCACCACCCCACTGCCAAGCATTACCGGCCGTCAACAAGCCTTCGACAAGCACTACACTAAACCACATGGCTGTCAAAGTCTGGGTCCAAGGGTCCAATGGGATCATGAACGCCACATTGACCCGTGTGCCTGGATTGAGAGGCACGATGCAACACTCCATACCAGACGTTCATCGGCGAATTTCTTTCCGAGTTGTGATCTTATAAAGTGTAGCATCGATTTGGCAGACCATGTAGGAATAATAATGACTGCTGAGTTAATAGAACTTCTTGTGCTACATTTGAGATGCAATGTTGATATCTTTTTGCAAGAGAAAAAACACTAGCAATCATGGTCCACGAACAAGCATATCGACCTTCTCAGCTCTCCCCGCCGGGTGCGATATCAAGCACGTCAAAATGCCAAGTCCCATAGTCGCTACGTGGAGAACCCGCTATCTTATCGCTGAGGGATCGATGTGCTTCCCGGTCTTCGGGAATGCGGAGCAATGCATGGGACACCCGGGCCGACATTCTGATATCTCAAAGTGTCTGGTGGTGATGAATTTTGTATAAAGATGCTGCGTCTCGACCCTCAATGGCCAACATCTCTCCCCATACTCATCCTCATCCTCAACCTTCCTCCTTACCTGATACATCAACAAACTTCTTTGACTCTTACTTGAGAGCCAAAAAAGTTCAAGATGCTCTCCAAGTCTGTGGTGGCGGCCCTGTTGGCCACTACCATCTCTTCTGCCGCCGCTCGTCCTGAACCCCAATTCTGGAAGCGTGCCATCAGTCTCGCTAGTGACGAAGTTCGCACCTGCTCCATCTCTGACGAGGCTCCTCAGACCAAGGCTCCAAAGGAGAACCCCTGGGCTCCCATCTCCCCAGAAGACACCAAGGCTGTCTGGGCTTACCTTCACGATCCCGCTACCGGACTCAACCTCACTGCGCCGGCCAACGCCACTCTTACCGACAACTATGTCTTCTTCATAGACACCCTCCATCTCAACAAGACCGAGGTATTGAGCTACATCGACGGCAATGGCGAGAAGCCTGCCCAGTACGCTCGTGTCGTCATCTTTGAAGGCGGCAAGGCTGAGCCCGTCTCTCAGGAGTACATGGTTGGCCCTCTTCCCTTCTCCGACAAGACCACTATTCAGCCATACGACTTCGTGTTTAACGGCGGCAAGGGCGGCGCCATTCCCTTTGACGGCCGCTATTATGATGGCAAGCGCACTGCTGGTTACCAATCTCTCCTCAAGAACGCCATGTCTGAGGTTGCCGACATCACCAAGGAGCTCTTTGATGGTGTTTACTACGGCTCTGGCGACAACCGCACCGACCTGGTCGCCGCTAGTACCGGCCCCAACTCTTGGGATGGGACGCAATCCTTTGTCACCATCATGTTCCGCTACCCTGGCATTGCTTCTTACATGACCCCTGTTGACTTCTACACCATCCTCGACACCACCGGCACCGACATCACCAAGTGGACCTTCCGCGGCTATGTTACCAACACTCGCTTCTTCCCTACCGCTGCTGAGCTGCGCGCCGCTTACGAGGCTGGCGAGCTCAAGAACGAGTTCCCTCAGACTCGCGACCAGGGCTGGGCCACCATGGAGCGCAAGGGCGAGATGGGTGTCCGTGATCTTGATGACCGCGCCGCTCCCCAGAGCCTCGAGGTTGGTGGCAAGCGCTACAAGGTTGACAAGGCCCAGAACTACATCGAGTACATGGGCTGGTCTTTCTACATCAGCTTCACTCGCGTTCTCGGCGTCATGTTCTACGACATCAAGTACAAGGGCGAGCGCATCATCTACGAGCTCTCTCTCCAGGAGGCCGCCGCTCAGTATGCCGGCAACCAGCCCAAGGCCGCCAACACCGTCTACCATGACACTTACTTCAGCATCGGAACATACTCGGCCACCCTCGTTGAGGGCTTTGACTGCCCCTTCGGTGCCACCATGTTTAACCTCAGCTTCCCCGGCTCCACAGACAAGACCGAGGTCCACCCCCAGGCTCTGTGCATCTTCGAAGCTGACTCCGGCTATCCTCTCGCTCGCCACCGCTACGGCAGCAGCAGCAACCCCAACGGCTTCTCTCATCTCGCCTCTGTCAAGAGCTCTGCCCTCCACATT